TATATATATATATATATATATATATATATATATATATATATATATATCTGATACTCCAAACAAGGACCATGCATGGAGATAACCTAGAACCCTTGCACAGATGTAGCTCAATGTCCAAGAAGGTTCACCAGCAATAGGAACAGAGACTGTCTCTGACATGAACTCATGGTGGATCAATGAAACCAAATAGAAGATCCAGAAATAAACCCACACACCTATGAATACTTGATTTTTGACAAAGAAGCCAAAAGCATTCATTGGAAAAAAGACAGCATCTTCAACAAATGGGGCTGGTCCAACTGGATGTCTACATGCAGAAAAATGAAAATAGATCCATATTTATCACCCTGCACAAAACTAAAGTCCAGGTGGATCAAAGACCTCAACATAAAACTAGACACTCTAAATCAGTTAGAAGAAAAAGTGGGGAAGAGCCTAGGACTTATTGGTACAGGAGACAACTTCCTGAACAGAACACCAACAGCACAAGCTCTAAGAGCAACAATCAATAAATGGGACCTCATGAAACTAAAAACCTCCTGTAAAGCAAAAGATACTGTTGCCAGAACAAAAGGACAGCCTACAGATTGGGAAAGGATCTTCACCAACCTTATATCTGATAGAGGGCTAGTATCCAGAATATATAAAGAACTCAAGAAGTTAAAAAGCAACAAATCAAGCAATCCAATTAAAAAAAGGGGTACAGAGCCAAACAGAGAATTCTCAGTAGAGGAAAATAGAATGACAGAGAAACACTTAAAGAAATGCTCAACGTCCTTAGCCATCAGAGACATGCAAATCAAAACAACCCTGAGATTTCAACTTATACCCATCAGAATGGCTAAGATCAAAAACTCAAGTGACAATACTTGCTGGAGAGGTTGTGGGAAAAGAGGAACCCTCCTCCATTGTTGGTGAGAATGCAAACTTGTACAACCAATTTGGAAATCAATCTGGCACTTTTGTAGACAATTAGGAATACTGCTACCTCAAGATCCAGCCATTGAACTTCTGGGGATATATCCAAAAGTTGCTGAAGTATACAACAAGGACATTTGTTCAACCATGTTCATAGCAGCTTTATTCATAATAGCCAGAACCTGGAAACAACCCAGATATCCTTCAGTTGAGGAATGGATACAGAAATTGTGGTACTTTTATACATGAACTCATGGGCTGGCTCTTTGATCCCCTCATCCTGAGGGGGGAGGAGCCTTACCAGTCCACAGAGGAAGACAATGAAGCCAGTCCTGATGAGACCTGATAGACTAGAGTCAATGGAAGGGGAGGAGTACCTCCCCTATCATTGGACTGGGGGAGGGGCATAGGAGAAGAAGAGGGTTTTATACATACATACATACATACATACATACATATATATATATATATAAAGCAGTAGTAATTATATATAATATATATATAATATACATACCAATAAAATACTCTTAATGATATTCTGTTCTACTCATAGATAAGTGCCTTTTTCTTATTTTTTTGTTTTATCATACTTTATTTTTTAATTTGAAATAGATACATCTCAACCACAGTGTCTCCTCTTTCCACTTCTTCCAGTTCCTACTTCCTTTCTCCCCCAGTTTCACCCCTCCCTCCATTTCCTCTTCAGAAAAGAGCAGGCCTCCAAAAGACGATAGTCAAACATGACAAAACAAGGTACAACAAGACAAGGCAAAGGTCATCATCATATCATAGCTGGACAAAACAACCCAATAGAAGGAAAAGAGTCCTAGGAGCAGAAAATAGAGTCAAATATTTGAAAACATCTTTCATATCTAACCAATTTCACCTTTCACTTTCTTTAAAACTCTATCACCTAACATTGGACTTGTTTACTTAGGATTCTGATTATATTCATCTTTTGTTGTTTGTTTTGTTGTGTTGTTTGGTTTTGATTTTTTTTAAAAGAGGTCTCACTCTAGTCCATACTGACCAAAAACTCTACACAGTCCAGACTTACCTCAAACTCAAGACACTCCTGCTTAATACCTGAGT